TATCTATCTATCTATCTATCTATCTATCTATCTATCTATCTATCTATCTATCTGTCTATCTGTCTGTCTATCTGTCTGTCTGTCTGTCTGTCTGTCTGTCTATCTATCTATCTATCTATCTATCTATCTATCTATCTATCTATCTATCTATCTATCTATCTATCTGTCTGTCTGTCTGTCTGTCTATCTGTATATCTATCGATCTGTCTGTCTGTCTATCTATCTGTCTGTCTGTCTGTCTGTGTGTCTGTCTATCTATCTACCGATCTCTGTTCTAGAAGTGCGCGTGGCTAGCAGACGCATGACGCAGTACGTTCTGTGCGTGCGGTGTGACGCGCTCTCACTGCAGCACTGGACAGTCACATGACAGGCAAAGAGACGTTATGGAGCTCTCTCGCTGTCAAACTTTATCACGAGTTCACTGTTAGACTGCAAAAGCGATGGACAGAGTGGGATTTTCGACGGCTTCTGATCTCCAGTGATATGTCAGGTCGGTTTTCTATTCCTCTACAAACCCCAGGTGTAAACATGAGTGTGCCAAAATGTACAATGTCAATTTCACTGTCAGCAACTAACTTAACGTTAGCTAGTTCCTACTTTCGTTGTATTATCTCAAAGGTTATGCCATATTGAGAAATTAGTATCTCCATGTATTATAGTTAAGCAATGTTTATTTATACCAATTTTTTACACAGTTGCTTAACACTCATTTTGGCTTATGTTGACATGTCCAGTCAAAACTAATCTGTTAATTTTATGCGAACAATATGATGGACACATACTGACTTTCTCTAGCTGTTAACTGAAAACATGTTTTTTTTGTATGTTTTGCAGAGTCATGCTCAGTCACTCTGTTTAACTTACTTATTCTAATGGTTACTCAAATGTTTTATCAATAAAAAAGTATTATACTGGTCCTTTTATTTGCATATATATATTTTAAATATATTCTACATGGTGTAATTGTAAATGCATCTGAATACTGTACGTGTCCCTCATCATTATCATGTATTAAGCCGGACATCACTCCACCCAAGTGTAACTTGATGCATCTATTTCTGTATTTCCACTTTGTTACACAGTTGCATCTATGTATCTGTTATTTTGTAGCTAAACCCCTGCGTCATGTCTGTGGATGGCCCCCGGACCTCTGTTTTCACCTTTCAGTCCGCTGTTCACAGCCATCATGTTCTTCGCTCGCTGGAGGAGCTGAGACAGAAGCAGCTCTTGTGCGATGTGACCGTTGAAGTGGAGCGCAGGAGCTTTCGAGCACACTCTTCAGTGCTGGCTTCCTGCAGCGGATATTTTTACACCAGACTGACAAACCACAGTCGACCGAACCTCACCGTCAGGTTACCGGAGGAGGTACTGCTTGATATGGTGGATGGGTTGAACCTGGAGGTTTTGAGAAAACTGTGGTTGAGCTTTCATCCCTGTATGATTTGCTGTTATTTTGAACACATTTTTAACACGCATACACATATGTAAAAAAACATACATCATAGAACCCTAAAACAAACAATATATGGTTCAACACAATTCTGTTATCATTTACTCCTGCATGAGTAAATCCGTGAAGGTTATGAGGGTCAGTGACTTAATATAATGTCATTGTGATTTAGCACAAAGGCATCAAATGAAAAAAATGTTTGAAACTAACCTTATTAGGTCTTTTTTATGGCGTAATGTTTTATTATTATTATTATTATTTGTTCGGAAAAAATATTTTTACTAAATGGTTTATTAATGTCTGTCAAGGATTTCTGCAAACCCACATAATTGTGTGTCATGGTCTAAGTTTCTTATAATACTTGATAATTTGACCTTTTTATGACAAGGCAAGGTTAAATATCAATTAGGGCTGGGCGATATAGCTAAAAAAATATATAAATAATATATGTTTCATATCGTTCGGTATCGATAATTATTGACATTTTTTTATAACCTTTTTTAAACCCGAGCAATAGAAATTTTTTTTAATATTTAACCACTGTATTTTTAATTTGCCCACTTTATTAAGACAATCAACAAATATATATATATATATATATATTATTTTTTTATTTTATTTTTTTGCTTGTTTTTTCATTCAAACACAAAATAACATTTTAACAAATATCTCCTTTCTTATGTTTTATATGCAGATTAAATAAGTCTTATGCTGAGTTCACACTGCACGATTATCAAACTCGTCGGATCGCTGTGTTCACATTGCACGATGGATCGGCGACAGGGGATTTCACAATAGGAAGAATCGCAGACAGCTCTGTCTGGTCCGCAAACTACGTTTCACAACAAAACACACGCGAGAAGTGATAAGGAAATAACATGAGAACCCACGTGCGTCAGACCGGAGTTCTTGAGCAAGAATGTAATTATTAAAAAAATATATATATATAGCCCGCAAATTGTCTGTGAGCTGATTTCCAGCTACAAGGAGAAAAAGAAGAACAGATTATGCAGGAGGGAGATGCAGGGAACAGGGATTGGGTGTTCTGCAAAGAGAGTTGGAGGTAAATAATTTTTTATTTACTTTTATTTACTTTATTTACTTGTTTCTGTATGATATAATTGTTCGTATATCTATTAAAATACTGATATTCTGGTCTATAACTCCTCCCGAACTTCCCGCTGCCCTGTATATTGGTCTCTCATTGGCTGTAGGTCATCGCCGATGTAGTTTTCAGTCAGAAATCATTTCACACAGCGTGATTGTGAATCGCTGACAGCTCCAGATATTTAGCATGCCAAATATTTTGCGGGCGTCGGCGACACATCGGCGATTCCCTCAGATCGCATCTTTGATAATTCACACTGCGTGATTGTCACTCGCGTGAACGAGCACAGATTTGTCTCCGATGTAGGGCATTTGTCGCCGATTTCGCAAAACCTGTCGGCGAGTGAAAAATCAGGCTAAAATCGTGCAGTGCGAACTCGGCATTAAGGAAACTAGACTTGTCTCCCGAGGCCACAGGAGGGCGCAATGAGCAAAATAATGCAGCGCATTAATTGTCAATTCAAATAACTGTCTATAAAAACGTGCATCGCGTCTAAATTAACATATATATAAATCAAATATAATTTTGTAAACTGCATAAACAATTATGAACAAAACAGCATCATGTGTTTATGCATTGCGTAGCCTAATACAAAGAGCCAAATCACCGATCACACAGATTGCATTTAAAAACATACGAGACGCAGTGAAATGAAATAAACCTTCACAAATTCGTGTCACGTTTTCTAAACGTTCAAACTGTTTGCATGACTTTCTTTGCATCTCTTGCATGAGACGCGAGTGCAGCAGTCATATCTGTTCGTCTAAAAATGTGCTGAATATGCGTTCTGTGTGAATGGCTTGGTTTTGGTTTTAACCCAATCAAGATCTTCTACGCATTGAGCTATATATTTCTCAGCAGCGAACACGGCAGCGGCGCGTCTCGTGGGCTAGACTAACAAAACATTCAAATGCAACGTCACATATCATCATCACCACATCTCGTGCACCACTGATGACGTTCCCTGAAGCACTCCTAACATTCGATTGTACCATTTTTGCATTCAAATGCAAATGTTTATTTTAAATTCGACTAATATTCATTTTTTTAATTCACAATCTCCTCACCACAAGCAGGCACAGCACTCAATTCAGCATGTATTCGTGTGTGCTGTCTGCGTCACTCATAGCACGTGCCTATATTGTGCGCTATATCGAACATTTTTATATCGTTATCGATGAAGGTGTACCGTCGATAAATATCGATACCTATATAAACTACATGATATATATGATCAAAAACACACGTATTCAGGGTGTAAGGAAAATATGTTCTTACTTGGTTACACCATATGATGTAATTGAGTAAATGATGACATTGTGTGATGTATTCCTTTAAAAATGGTTTACATTGCAGTGCTGGCAAATTAGACCTTATATATTGAGATTAAATTGAGTAAATGAAGTTACAGCAATAACCCAGTAATGCAATTTGCAAATGATTTATTCATGCAGTAATCATGACTAGATCATTAATTTCCCAAGGTCACGGTGGAAGGATTTGAGCCTCTTCTGCAGTTTGCCTACACGGCAAAACTTCACTTCACGAAAGAAAACATCCTGGAGATCCACAGATGCGCCGAATTTCTCGGATTTCAAAACCTCGATAAAGCCTGCTTTGAATTCCTCGTCCCAAAGTTTTCAGATGGTAGTGGAACCTCAACAAAAGTGAAGAGTAAAAGCAAGAGCCAAGTGTCCCATGAGAAATTGCAAGCCATCTGCAGTCCAAATGGCCAAAACCCGGAAACTGAAGAAGATCGTGTACCTCAAGATGCAAGCACTGTCATGCAAGCTGCGTCTATAACATCCTCTGCAGAAAGTCCTAAAGATTGTCCCCCAATCTCAAATGACAAAGAAATGCAGTTAGATTTGTCCTCTCTTTACGCAAGAAGCACTTCATACCACATGGGAGATGGCCAGGATCAGTTTTGCCTGCAGAACTGTGGCCCACAGTTGCCTTCGTCTTCTTTGGCAGCTTCTGAAGTTTGTCCTTTCCTGTCTATTTCGAGCACCAGTGACAATGAGACACTGCATTCTTCTGCAGCTGGCTGTGGTGGGGACATTTTCGCAATGGAGGACAAATTCCAGAAGGAACTAGCAGTGGAGATGCATTGTGAACCACCTACTGATAAAGACCTGAACATAGCCAGTATCACCGAGGGTCACTTTGACCAACGTGAAGGGCCTCTAATGCCGTCCACCGACTGTACCCAACTATGTCCTCTGAATTCTGTGCAGTCAAGCGGGGTTTTGGACGGCATTTCTGGCGCTCCAGACCTAAGCAACATTGGCACCGAAGACAACCGGGTGTTTGATTCCAACGAACAAACATTCTCTGAACTGACCCCCAAAGATTGCTCCACAGAACGAAGCATGGTGGAAAGGGAAGTGGCTGAGCATCTTGCAAAGGGTTTTTGGCCGGATTTGAGCTCCACGTTGAGTGAGCCGCTACCTTTGGACTCTATCGACCAGTCATCTGCAGGAAATGGCTCAGACTTCCACTGGTTAAAGCATCTGGATCTGGGAGCTGCGCCTGATGATTGTCCCTTCCTGAGAGACCTGAGCTCCAGCGATAGACATACCTCTGGAGGGGACACTCTGTCCAAAGAGGACACTGGAGACAGTCCCTGCATGTCCCCCATTAACTCAAGGGAAAACTCTGAGTGTGAATCGGATGGAGACTGCACGCAGTGTGGTAGCAGTGAACAAGTGCAAGAGGTGAGCATGCTTGCACTCACAATTGCAAAACTTCGTGAAGTTAGAGTTGAAGTTTGTTGCCAAATTGCAGACTTCTGCTTTATTTTGTACTCAGTTGAGATTCCGTGACATGCAGCATGCTTCAATTAAAAGTGTCAGTCCCTACTGAAGAATGTAACCAAACTCGAGGCTGAACACAGCTGCGATACTCCATAATACAGTGTTGACGTCTCGGTTTTCTTCCCAGGTGGATTTGCCATTCCCTGTGGAGCAGATTTCCAGCATGACCCGGAGAGCATTCCTGCAGATGTTAAAACGCGAGCAACTGACCCCAGAACAGCTGGCGTTTGTTCAGGATGTGAGACGGCGCAGTAAGAACCGCATGGCTGCACAGCGCTGCCGCAAGAGAAAGTTGGACTGCATCTACAGGCTAGAGGGAGAAATCAAGAAACTGGTATATCTGTTTGTCATATCTACTGAATCTAAAATAACATGTGTATTTGAGTGGTCCTGACAGTTTAAGCCCCATTTACCCCATTAATTGCAATTGAATCAGCCAGTATTTTGTTAATAACTGGTATAAACATGTTTTTAAATAGTGTAGTGCAATCAAACAATATGCAGCACGATCATTGTACTCTCATTTATGAAGGATTGATAAATGAGCCAGTTACTTTGAATGAATTTGAAATTACATTTAAAAAAATCAGTCTCAGACCGATTCAAACCATTCATTTGAATGCGAGAGTTTACCAACTCACTCAAAAACTCGTTCAGGTGTGTGTTTCCTGTACAATGACGCAACTGTGCTTAACTACCATACATCTTTAAGGAAATTAATTAACTAGCCTGTCATGACTGTTCCCTGAAACCATAGGGTTTGTCACACATGTCATTTGAACACGTTGTTTCACCAATATAGAACCAACGTTAATGACTTCATGCAGGTGGTGAAGTAATAACTTAGGCTAATTAATCAGTCCATGATTGAATTAATGTAAGCTTATTGCTGTAAATGATGAGCATGGTATCCGAGGATTATTTAGCTGTTTTTGTTCGCCATTGTTTTGCTTTATTTCCAGATTTAGAAAATTATCATGGCCAAAAGAATTCACAATAACAATGTTATTGTGATACCTCTATTGTGTGTTTTCTGTTTTTATTTTTTTTCCAGTTACACTCAAAATATTACTGTAGGGAGTAGGCATGGGCACAAGTATACAAAAACAATGATCGCATGAATATATAATTAATGCATATGTATATATAAATAGTATCTGATCAGTTTTGTGTAATAAATTATTATTTCATTGTACAATGTTAAATATATACATTTGTATACAAAATTGGTACAGAAATACAGAAATTATTTATTTTTTTGTAACATCTTTACAATAAAATTATAATTTATTATGTTTAAATATTTTAAATTGTAGGACTATTTAAAAGAAATTATTGAGAGTTGGCAGTTCTTCCTCTAAAGTATGACAAGAATTGCTAATGGGAAACCAGAAACCATTAAATTCCCTACGATTCCCATCCCTAACATTACCACATTGTGTGTATGGGCATAAAGTATGCAATTATACTGCTTCTATTGTCCCCTTTTCTGATGGACAGTGAGAAAACTGATCGATCAGACATATAGTACGCAGTTTTGACGCAATGCTGCAAAACAAATGCTACGAAAATCAATAGCAAGAGTTATGATTAGTTTTTTCACCACAAGGAATGCAAAGTCTGGTAAACACAAACTGAAATTTAATCTTAAAGGGTTAGTTCACCCAAAAAAGAAAATTCTGTCATTAATTACTCACCCTCATGTTGTTCTAAACCCGTAAGACCTCCATTCATCTTCGGAACACAAATTAAAGGGGTCATATGATGCGATTTCAAGTTTTCCTTTCTCTTTGGAGTGTTACAAGCTGATTGTGCATAGATAAGATCCCTGAAGTTGCAAAGACTAAAGTTTCAAAACCAAAGAGATATTCTTTATCAAAGTTAAGACTCTGCCACGCCCCCCTAAAACGGCTCGTTCTAACACGCCCCCACATATCTACCTCACTATGTGGAAATATTAGCATATAGAAGGCGTGGTTTCAGTAACCACAGTTAGTGTTGAAGCAGCCATGTCAGGGAGACGCTGAGAGAGAGAGATTTGAGATTTCAAGCCACTTTTATTACAATATACAACAGTTACAAGTTCAATCCAACATCAGTCACATAACAAAATACAAACACTTTATATAAAAAAAACAATCCATCACCAGAAATCTCACACAAAGCTCTTTTTAAACACCAAATCAGCTCAAACTTTGCAAGATCATTCATCAATTTATAATAATTAAAATCTATTAAAATTCTGGATTTAACTGAATTAGCAAACACTGCTTTTAAATCATTACAAACCCCATGTTCATTTTTTTCTTTTCTTGTAATGTAAATTGCCATTTTGGCATGTCCCAATATAAAATTAAACAACTGACACTGATACTTGTGACTCTGTGAGTATTTAAAACCACAAATGAATTTCTTCATTGAAAAACACTCATTAAAACAATTAAAAATGTTACTCAAAACACTAAATAAAGATGTCAGTCTAGAACACTGCATAAACGCATGGAAGACAGTTTCCCTTTGTGAACAAAAAGAACCATTTTGATCACTCTCCACTCAGGTTTTTCATACTCATTTAAATTAAGCATCTCACGCCAAGGAGTATCAATAATTTTATCAACCTCCATTGCAAATCTCCAATTCTCTTAGATAATGGTGACTTATACAATAATCTCCACTCAGGTTTCTCATACTCATTTAAATTAAGCATCTCACGCCAAGGAGTATCAATAATTTTATCCAAAAAATTCTTATTAAAAATCTTAACACAAATTTTATAGCAGACCTTTCCAGAAGTAATATCTGAGCCCTTCACAATCAACCTATTAATCACCTTCTAAGAAACAGCCTTCACAATTGTCCATTGTGGGAGTTAAATATAAGTCAGGAAAATAATCTAAACAATCTGGATTTACAAGCCCCAATGAGTAATCTAATAACAATTTCAATTCTTTTTCAGACAAATCTGTCTTCCACTTGTCAAGTACTGGCAACCAGACGCATAGATCTCATCCCCAGCTTCTCAGTCATTGCACTCACATCTGAAAAATTAGCTCCAGCTACTTGTAGCACTTTCCCAATGGTTAAAAGTCCAGAGTTGAGAAGATTTTCTTCTGTCACAGAGTAACTCAGTTCACTTGACAAGGCCAAACATGAGCCAAAAATTAATGGCTCTTGCAACAGCCAGTACAAAGAGTTCACAGTCCGCTCCTTTGGAGTCTCGAACAAGGCCCACACTTTAAAAAGATTCCGATAAAAAAACAGGAAACTTAGAGAGGTTCAACTTTTGAGGATCTAGCCAAAATATGACTCTCCTCTCAAAAGCAAAATTTTCTTTAACCGCATTCTCATTGCCTAAAAAGACACCCAAGTATTTAAAACTATCTCTGGTCCATTTCAGACCAGCTGGTAAAATGGGTTCCCCATGTAACCAACTCCCAGCAATTATAGCTTCACTCTTTTGCCAGTTTACTTTTGCAGAGGCGACATGTCTAAAATCTTCTAATGTTTGTAACATCACATTCACATAATTTTGATTACTAATTAACACTATCACATCATCAGTTTAGGCTGATAATTTAACAGCTTCAATACCATTTAAAATCTGTAAACCACACATGTCAATTCTTAACTTAATTAAAAGAGGTTCTATAGCCAAGGTGTACAGCATGCCAGAAAGAGCACAACCTTGTCTAACTCCTCTTAAAACCTTAAACGGAGAGCATAAGTCACCATTTATCTTCAATATACTCTCAACGTCACAATACATAGCTTTAATCATTGATATAAAATCAGAACTAAAACCAAAAGCTGCTAGAACACTCCATAAATATTTATTTTCGACCCTGTCAAAAGCCTTCTCCTGATCAATTGAGATTAAACCAAAGTCTAATAAAACCTCACGATTATCTAAAACATCTCTTACAAAAGAAATGTTATCAGTAATTCTTCTACCTGGAACACAATATGTTTGATCCGGATGAATAATTTGATCTAAAACATCTCCTAATCTATTTGCCAATACTTTTGACAGTAATTTATAATCATTACATAAAAGACTTATGGGCCTCCAATTTTTTATTTCATTTAAATCTCCTTTTTTGGGAGCAGAGTGTTAACAGCTCTACGGCAGCTTCTGGGTAACTCTCCATCAGATAAACTCTGATTGAGAACTGCCAACAAATCAGGACCTATCTCTGTCCAAAAAGTCTTATAAAATTCGACTGAGAAGCCATCCATTCCTGGTGTTTTTCCGTTCTCCATGCTATTCAGGGCCTTCTCTAATTCATCCATAGTCAATGCTTTACTAATTACTTCATTGACGTCTTCATTTACTTGTGGCAAATTTTCAAGAAAGACATTATTTGAAGTCTGTGTACACAACTAATTTTTATACAGATCTTCATAAAATTTGACCGCTCTCTATCTATAGAGTTCAATAAAAGAACTCCTGTTTCTGAACGTAAAGCATGAATGTCTATTCTTCCCATTTTTCTTTTCTAGGTTAAAAAAGAATTTTGAAGGTGCATCCATAGACTCAATGCTTTGAAAACTAGATCTAATAATAGCACCTTGTACGGTTAAATCTAACATTTCATTCAAAGAAGCTTTCTTTTTCCTAAAAGACTCTATCTCTATTTCATTTTTTGTTACCTCCAAGAGCTCTTGAAGTTTAACTAAATCATCTTCTAGTTTTCTTATTGACCTAATCTTATCCTTTGTGACGTTGTGAGTATATTGTTGACAAAGTTTAGTTTGAACTTTTAAAAAATCCCACCACTGCTGCAAAGTTTGAAAGGAAGACTTTGTTAATTTTACATTAACCCAAAAAGCCTTAAAAACATCGTTACAATGTTTATCACCTAACAGTGTGCTGTTAAAATGCCAATTGGCACTTTTTGGTTTTACACAGTCAAAAAACATCTCACATTTCACAAGACTGTGATCAGAAAAACAAACTGGAATAATTGAACACTCTTTAAAAAAATTACTGATAGCCCGTCAAAACCCATTGCCCACTCCACAGCATTTTCTAAATTACTGAGTCTCTTGCAAAAATATCTCAAAAATCTGCACTCTTTTCCTACTCTCTCTTGCACCATTAATATTTAATGAAGCAAAATGTACTACTCCCATTAGAAGGAAAAGAGACACCCCCCCAAAACAGAAAAAAACAACCCCAGAAAAGAATAATAACCTTGAACCATTCTGACTGCTTTCACCTTGTTCTGACTGAGCATTTAATTTGGTGAGAATTTTTTTCAAACGAAAAACTTCAGGGTCAGAAAATTGGTTCTCGCTTCTAAACAATTTAACTTTCTCGATCAATTGTGGAATGTCTAGGAAAAAAAGGTTTTTCTTCTCATGGTTTTTGTCACCTTTAAAAAATACTTAATGCCATCTACATTATATAGCTGACTAGAGAAGCCGCTCGCAGGCAAACTACCCGTGAAGCTGCATTCTGACCCCTCAGCCTCACTGTCCGTGCCAGTCTGACTAACTTCCCGAACATCAGCTTTTTTCGTCAGCTTACTGGCATGTCGTTCCATTGACTTCCTCTTTTGCGGTGCTTTAAAAGAATAATCATCCAATTCAAGTACCGATCCACCCAACTTCTGGTCCATCAACATCTGTTCTCCAGAATCCACCACATTGTAGCCATCTTCTGATTCTACCAAAGGGTCTATTATCGGTTCACACTCTACGGGGTTCTTATCACCAACCAACACTTTCTTCACACTTGTAACTAGTTTTGTCGGTGTCACCTCATTATTTAGCTCCGCATCTACAGCGCGAGCTACACTAAGCCCCGGTACCTCCGCATCAACCGTAGTTTCATTCTGCACGACTCCAACACTAGTATTAGCGGCGTTTGACTCGACCCTTTTATCAGTTTGAGCCTCTTTTCTAGGACAATTACGTACAAGATGTCCATTTTCTTTACACCCGAAACATTTCATGGAATTTGTTGTGACATAAATCACATAATTGAAACTTTCATGACTAAACTTTAAAGTCAAATCCAACTCTTCAGTGTTGTCTTTTAAAATCATATAGACATAGCGTCGGAAGGACACCACATGTTTCAGCAG